GATAAGGATAAGAATAAAATAAGATAAGGTTAAGAATAAGATAAGGATAAGAATAAAATAAGATAAGGTTAAGAATAAGATAAGGATAAGAATAAGAATAAGATAAGGATAAGAATAAGATAAGATAAGGATAAGAATAAGATAAGATGTTTAAGAATAAATTAAGATAAGGATAAGAATAAGATAAGGATCACAGAATATACAATCAACAGTATTCACAATTTCCAATGCTTTCCAATAGTGAAATGAAATGGAATGACTTTTATTTTTGGAACAAAATCAAACTGTGAGGATATGCCGGGCTGCTGCTGCTGCTGCGGTGCCTAGGTTTTAATTTGAACCTGGTTTATTGAGAGGAATGAGATGTTAATGTTTGTACTTGACCTGAGCCGTGCAGCGCTCAGCTGAGCTCCCTCTGCTTCTCAGGTGAATGAGGCAGAGGAGGAGCGGCTTCGCAGTGAGCGGGAGCATCAGCGAGTCACTCAGCTCTGTCAGGATGCAGAAACCCGAGTTCAGACCCTGCAGAAGACCCTGAGGAAGGTCATCCTGAAGTCTAAGTCCTACTTTGAGCTGAAGGCTCAGTTCAATCACATTCTGGAGGTGAGTTAACAGTGAAATCTGTCCCGGCTTTACAGCTCAAGGGATGTTTTCTCTGACTCCACTGTTTTTCAAAGACTTTTTTAGTATTTTAACGCATTCTAAAGTCAAAGGTCTTCAAATTGGGGGTCACAGCTCCCCTGGTGGGTCTCATAGGTCCTGCAGGGGGTCATAACATCACAAACAGTTCAGGCAACATATTAACAACTGAAATAATGTTTTAACTAGGAAGAAACAGCAAGTTGATTTTTAAGGCAGTTTTCTTAAAGACCTGATGGCTGCTCACTTCTTCTTTATTTATTTTGTTTTAGGTTTTCAGGTGGAGATTTGTTTTAAAACCTTCTTGACTTAACAGGCTGAATCTTCATCATCAGCCCCTCAGACACGATATGATCTTCAATTCAATTAAGTTTCTTTCTAAAGCGCCAATTCACAGCTTTTCATCTCAAGGCATTTTATAGATCCAGATCAACCAGATCATTCAGTCAGATTGGTTCAAAGTTTTCTATCTAAGGAAAACCAGCTGATTGCATCGACTCATTGACTCTTCAGCAATCCCTCACACTAAGCATGCTTGTAGCGACAGTGGAGAGGAAAAACTTGGCAGAGGGGAGGCAGTGCTTTGCTAACACTACTTTGGAGGGATTGGAGAGCTGCGGACCCTGAATGAGGACATCATCGGGC